TCTGTTCTCTTCTATACCCCAACCTAATCCATCCAATTTTATGCACAGTTTAGCTTCCTAGACCCTTCTTTCATATCTCTGCTCTTTAGATATTTTACACGTAGTCTGTGGGTCTCTGAAAACCAATACATACTAGGAACATTGGAAGAAATGAAGGAAACATTTCTCCTGGAGAAGAGACTATGGGAAGCATTGTGGGCATCTCCAAATGAAAGCAGGAGTGGACACATCAGGCATTAGTGCATGGATCAGATGTCTGTTCATTACAAGGCATTAGTCTTTCAACTAATATATTTGAGCACTTACTATATGCAAGGTGATGGGTGCTTTGGACCAATTAAAGGAAAAACTTTTCAAATGGGAATAATTCCATCTAGCTGTGGTGTTGGAGGGTGATCCCTGACCTCTTATCAAAGTTGACTCCTGCATTGGAGAAGGGGGCTAGACTCTGATCTATAAGTCCAGATTCAATGGCAAAATTCTGTTTCTATAATACTATCTTCAAGCCAGGCCAACTCTCTCAGAAAAGCACTGACAAGACCTAATCCTTTTGAATGCAGAAAAGGGGACAGACCACAATTTGTCATTTTAAGTGGGTCACAGTGACCTGCAAAAACACCTGCAAATACTTCTCTACCTAGTCACTTTGTCTCTGCCTCTTTAAGTCAGTCCAACCCATCCACAGGCTGCACCTGCAGAAGATAAAGGTTAGCTGAAAATAGCCATGGGTGTTCAGAGCAATTTCCCAGAACCTCCATTCTCTGATTTGGCTCAGATTCCATCTCACCCTCCTCCAGTCTCTTGGCTCTGACTTCACCTCAGTTATTTGAACCTTGGCTTTACTTATCCTATAGACCAGGAAGGTTTTCAAACTTTAGCATTAGAATTACCAAGAGGACTTGTTAAAACAGGGATTGCTGGGCTCCATTCCCAGAGTTTCTAATTAAATAAGTCGGGGATGGGCCCAAGAATTTGCATTTCTAACAAGTTCCCAGGTGACACTAATGCTGCTGGTCCAGGGACCACCCTTTGAGAACCACTGGTCTAGATTGTGGCACAACTCTTTCCTCTGCAAGAACTCCCAGTCTAACTCAGCGTCACAAAATCTGCCTCTGCCTCTCAAGCCATTGCAGCTCCAACCATCTCTCCAGTACCAGTGGCATCTTGGATACTATCAGCAGAGGGATGTCTAAAATTCCCCAGCATTGCGTTCCTGAAATCGAGGCTTTCTGGATCTGTAAAAATGTAAGTGCCTCAGAAGGTATTCTACCATGATTTTATAGAGATAATTAATTACAAATCTTATGGGAATGGTGTCCTTTCCTTGAAAGTGAGCATGTTAAAAACAAAAACAAAAAACAAAACAACAACAACAACAAAAAACACTAACTTCACCAAATCTTCTTAAGTCAGATAAGACCCAGCTGGTAGACTTATGGCTGCAGGACTAGTGTGCTTGAGTAAATAGCTGAAGGTAAATAGTGAGGGGAAAATATTAACAACTAACTTTAATATAACTGTTATTTTCTGCCAGGCTCTTTCATAAGCACTTTGCAAATCTTTATTATTTCATTTCTCATAACAAACCTATAAGGAAGATATTATTATCCTCATTTCACTGAAGAGACAACCAGGGCACAGAGAGTTCAGGTAATTTGCTTTAGGTCACACAGCTAGCACATGACAGAGTTCCAGAGTCTGCACTCCCTACTGCACCGCACTGTACTATGCAGCCTAGTACTATGCAGACTCTGAAATCTATGTTCTGGGTTCAGCATCTTTTTTCTGCTCAAACTTTTATCTCCAGTTGGGTGCCATTTTTTAGACCTTCCAACACCTCCTCACTACCCCTATTCACCTTGAGACTTGTTCCCTTGTCTAAGAACCTAATTTCAGGCATCTACAAGCAGAGAGATTTGGGGGAGTCAATGGGGTGGGCCTAAGACCATTCTATGTACACCCAGCTGGCCATGAATGTAAACCTGACTTTAATGAAGGTCTTGACTGTTTTTCAATGACTTAATTGAGTTAGGAGCACAGGGTGCTCAAGGACAATCCCTAAATGGTAGGACTTCCCAGAAGTCAAGGTAGGTCTGGGCCACCTTCAGGTTTTAAAGATATCTCCAAAAGAAGAGTTTATTTAAAAGATTTACTTTAAGCAAACAGACACATTTAACCCCCCAAATAAATAATAACTGACATTCACAAGATGATCAATTACAGGATTTGACATTCCTGTGAATTCAGTGTGCCCCAGCCATGTGGTGGGGCAATGGTCTGCCATCTGAGGAGTGTGGGAGAAGTCTACATCAATGCCTGTTGGGTAGCTCTGTGCCCATCTGGAAACCCTCCTCTGCAGGAAACATCCACCATTCAATGCTAGGACCCTACCTCTGGACCAAATGGGCAGCCCTCCCATCTCTGACAGGCCTTGCTGGAGGCTCCCAGCTCCCTGGAGATGCTGGCTGAGGCTCCAGCAGCAGAAGTGTTTCGTCTCTGGTTTCTCCCATAGTCTGGACCAGCCTGCCCCAGCACCTTCTGTCTGTCCCCAGTTTGCTCTCTTTAGAGCTTCTCCACTCCTAAGTCTCTGTTGAATTGCTCCCAGCCCATTCAATGCTGCCTAAAAATAAAAATTCACGATGTTCTGGGTCAATGACCAATATTTTAATTGGCATCTAATGGTTCTTTCACTTGTAAAAATCTTTTGCCTCATATCCCGGAATACGTCTCTAAACCTCTATATTATTTCCACCTCTGGTCGTGAAACTTGACCAAATAAACAAAGTTCTTGGCCTGCCCTTTCTTTATGAACAGAAGGCACACTGTTTTGTTTTGAGTTTGCCTGTCTAGTCTTTCAGAAGTGCTGCACTTCCACGTGGACCCTGTTCTCATATCTGCTTACAAGAAAACCATGGTAGCGACATTTGGTTGTTTGGTCTCCATTCAAGTGCTTTAACAAAACTGAACTCTTCCCAGGAGTGAGAGTGCATCTCAGCATACTGACAGGGTTATCAGATAAAATACAAGATGCCCAGTTAAATTTGAATTTCAGGTAAACAATGAATATATTTGTAGTATAAGTATATCCCATGCAATGTTGAGGACACATTTAAACTTTAAAAGTTTTCGTTGTTTATCTGAAATTCAAATATAATTGAATGTGCTGTATTTTTACTTGCTAAATTTGGCAACACTAGGAATATATCAAATAATCCAGCTAAATAAGAGTTCTATGAAAATGTTAAAAAATTTTCAATCAGTACAAGCATCCAGCTAGCCTAGCAAGGCTCGTATGCCTGCCCCTTTGCCAGGGAAGGTGGGCATCTCATTAATCATCACAACTGATCCAGTGGAGGAGATTTAATTCTTCCGAAAGAGGGGAAGTAAAATAAAAGAAAAAAAAAGGAAAAGGAAAAGAAAAAGATAGAATGAAAAATACTGCTGAGCCAACCGAAGCGTCCTATAATACATGATTGGATAAAGAAGATGTGGTACATAAATACAATGGAATATTACTCACCATAAGAAGAGATAAAATACTACCCTTTGCGACAACATGCTATTGAGATACATGCCATTTGAGATAATCATGCTAAGAGAAATAAGCCAGACAGACAAAGTTGAAAACCACATGATATCACTTATATGTGGGATATAAACCTAAAAGCAACAAACGAACAGGACAAACGGAGACTCATGGATATGGACAATAGACTGGTGGCTACCAGAGGGTGGGAGGCGGGCAGGAAGGAAGGGGGAAGGTAGACAGAGTAAAGGGGGTCAAATATGTGGTGACAGAAGGATATCTAACTGTGGGCTGTGAACACACAATGCAAAATATATATGCCTTACTGTTGAATTATACACTTGAAACATATTGGATTTTGTTAACCAATGTCACCACAATAAAATAAGATAAGACAAGACAAGATAAGATAAGATAAGATGGATAAGATAAGATAAGATAAAATAAAATAAAATAAAATAAAGTAAAAATACTACTAAGTCAAAAGTTAATGAGGTCTACCAATTACCAAGCATCCTTTAATAGGATGGTGTGGGGTGGGTGAGGAGAAAGGTTTTAGCACAGAAAGGTGAGATTAATAAAGATAAATCACGTTTCCATCATAATTTTCCCAAAAGCACTTTTCTAAAAAGCAAAGGTAGATTCAGAAGATCTAGGTCCTTTTCTCCACTCTGGTATTGATCACTGCATGCTCTGGCACACAGCCTTTTATGGCAGTCTCCATCCTCAGCGCCCTAATTTCATCCTAATTTCATTCAAGTTTTTCTTGGATACAGAAATCATCTTTAGTCCCTTACAAGAAAAAGTGTGGGTTATAGTAAAGAAATCTTTACCACTTAACTAACCTGCAACAGTGGGCTACCTCTGTCCCTTAGATGAAAGAGGAGGTTCAATAGCCTCATTAGAAAACATTTTTAATAAAAAATTTTTATCAGAAACATTTACAAAAGGATTTTAGTCAAATGATGTAATAATTTTAGGCAATAATAACCATACTTTTGAAAGCCAGTGCTGATTACCAGGTGTATTAAAAATGGCCTTGAGGGAAATCTCTGTGCAAATATTTCTTTTTTAGTTTAATTTCAAAGACTACTTAAAAGGAAAAAGGGAGGATGTCTAAAGTAGTAAAGTAGCAATCATTTGCACCTGGACAGACTATGTTTCATCCCAGAATCTGGAGCATTTTGTGCACAGATGGGAGAGCCCGTGTGTGCACAGAATACTGTGGGGGCCAGGAAGGGTCATGGCAGAGAGACAGGTGGCTCTACCAAGGTCACATGGAAACACAGGTGGACTTGAGAGCACTGCTCCCACCTGATAACAATCATGCAGCCTCTGCTCTGAAGGGAGCCTGCGTTGTGTTGTGGAGGTCCCTCAGAGCTTCAGGAGACCGCCTCTGCAGCTGAAGAGAAGCCAGTGAGGCTCTGGCTGAGTTTAGTGAGCACCTGCTACATGCACAGCACCATTAGGCATCATGGATGAAAATGGACAAGACCCAGATCCTACCAACAAGCATGAGACTAACTCACAAGACAAGACTCTGAAGAGATGGAATCCATCAGGGGGCTGCGAGAGAGTATGTAGACTTTCTCTCGGGCCTCCAAGGGCAGAAAGGATTTAGATAGAAACATGGAGCATTTCACAATATGTCAGGACACTTTATATTCTACTAGACTTCTTTCTCCATCAGAGGACTAGAAAAACCCTGCCTTTCCCCACATGAAATGTGAAGTAGGTTTCATGCTGGCTTCCAAGCTTTTGCTGAAAACCAGACATTTGTGGTTGGCACCAAGAAGATCAGAAGGGATTCGGTTAGTGTGTTCCCATTCTCTTTGTGTTTTGCTGGTTTCTCACCCCACCTAGTTTGTTTTTTCCACTCCCTCTTTTCTTTTCCTTCCCGCTGAAGAATAACTTATGATTAGACCTCAAGACAAGGAGAGCAGAGAAGCTTCTAGATGTTCACCCATTTCGCTGAACTCTTGGGGCAACAATGGTTCTTGTAAGGGCTGAGCCAGAGCCTGTGCCAGGAGGAGGGTCTGACTGACCAGGACAGGACCTCAGGGTGGGCACATTCACCCCCTATCCTCTAAATGCTTATGGAATAAAGGATTTGCCAGAGGTCAGCAGATGGCAGTCACCAGTGGGACCCACTCACTAACACAATGATGGCCACTGAGAAGCCTAGATTTTCTAGGACAGTTCCAGTTTCGAGTGACCCCATAAAACATCCAAATGGCCCAGAAATTTTAACATCTCAGTGTTCAAAGTGCGATTTCAAAATTGCACCCTCACATTTGGAATGGGTACAAAAAACCTTTCATAGGCCCAAATGTCCCAGTTGGGTTTTGGAAACTATGATCACTGCATCTGGAGGCTGACTGGAAAGTAGGTGTCTTCATAATGTCCCCCATGTTTCCCTGTCAGCTACTGCTCTCCCCTCACCCAGTGCTGCCTGCTGCCCGCCCCACTCCATCCTCCCTCTGCACTCCCTTTGATGAAAACGGCCTCAGTTAGGATCTGGCAAGCGCTCATGGGAGCTAAGTGGCTGAAGAAGATGTTAAGATTTGTGTTCTCACTAGAAATAGTGTCTTGAGACCAAGGAGTGAAATGCTAATAAAGAATTAGCGGGGTTGAGCAAATTGTAAGAGAATATGGGGGGAAGAAAGTGAGGGGTCTCTGTGGGGCCCTTTAAGCTGAGTGACTGCTACCTGCTCGACATGTTTGCCACACTGAGTCTCTCGCCTCTGAATGGGGTAGAGGAAGCCGCCACTGCCACAGTCGAAGGAAGAGAGTAGGTATCACTTAGGTATGAGTGTCCCTCAATGAGTGTCCGAAGCTGGACACTGCCCAGTGGCTGCCCACACTGCTGAAGTAAGAGGCCACCTGGCAGGAATAAGCACCTCGATGACCTGGCCCAAAGACCAATGGCGCTGGCTGCAAGTCTAAAAGAGAATCTTATCTATTTTTTGCACCTCTGCACCAGGGAAATCGTGAACCCTGCCTGCCGGAAAAATGCACAGTGGCTGGTATCACAGGAGGTACTCAGTCCACTGGGGCACCAAGCTACCCACTGGTGATGGTGTCCATGTCACAGGAGTCACAGAGTCTGGGGGCATGGGTCACACCTCAGCCTGAGACTGCAGAAACAGAGGTCTGCCATGGCTCATCTACAGACCATGAGTCCTGACCCTGCCCAGGACATAGTCTTACCCACCCAACTGGGTCTTGCCAGGGCCCATCCACCTAAAAGGCAGACCGTAGGCTGCGCAGTATTGGTGCCCTAGGTCACAAGCGGCCCACCTCCCCTGTGCTCCCTTCTTTTCACTCTGCCCCCTGATGACAATTGTCTTGGTTCTACTCTGCCTCTGATGCACTCCACTGGTGCTCTTCCGTTCTCATGTTTTGAAATCATTCTTTCTCATTTCTTGCCTTTTTCTGTGTTACTTCCATAGGCAGATCTAAATGTCATGACCCACACCTTCTGCAAGCCCTAGGACACAGTGTCCCTATGTAGAGTCCCCACAAGGAGGTGTGTGGGGTGAGCCAATAGAGAAACCAAGCTTGAAAAATATCTCTTCTCTTTGTTCTTCTTTCTGCCCCCAAAAATGGGTAAACCGTACTCTGGTAAAAGACAATGCATGATAGTCTTTGAAGAAGGTTTCCATAGAAAGCCATCTCACCCCCAATTTTTTTTCTCTGGCTTCTCCTCCTATGGCCAGATATTTACACAATAAGAAATTAATTCTTTTGCTTCTTTTCTGTTAGAATACTAATAAGCAGGAGAAAGGTAGCAGCAGTTATTTGTGATTTAGAGCTATGTACTTATTCTCAGAGCATACTTAGATAGGGAGGGAAAGAATTTGAGAATGAGGGAGTAGAGAACCGTTAAGAGAAGCCTCAATAAAAGGAGAAACAACTGCAGAATAGAAAGATGGAAGGGGGCCTAAGCCAAACTCTTCCTGTCTCAGAGTTTTGCAGGGGCCAAGTGAATCTGAGCCAGGTCTCAAATCAGCCAGAGGGGAAAGAGGAGGAATATGCTGGAGCAAGTTCGGGCATTGAGCACAAAGGCCGCCTTTAGTCCAGGGACTAACAATGCAAAGAAAAGAAAAACCCAGCTCCTGCGCCCAAAGACCTCATAGTCTGATGGAGAGAAACACAGGGATATAGTGTTCACGATACAGTTTGAAAGCGCTTCTCCTGAGTGAGGCATGTGGAGGAGGGGCATGGTGGATGAGCATATGTTACATCCTGGGGTTGGGAGAGGATTAGACGAACTGTTAAAAGACAAGTAAGGAGTCTAACATGAGAACGAAAGGAATACTGGCAGAGGGAACAGCCAAGCAAATGCTCATGAAAAAGCAAAGTTCTATGTGGCTGGAGTGTAAGGTTCTTAAGGTGATATAATGGGAGACGAGGCTGGGAAGGTGATGGGCAGTCAGAGCACCAAAGGCTGTGCCGAGACATTTAAGTTTCATTAAGAAAGCAATGAGGAGCTACTGATGGGTTTTAAGCAGACGACTCCATGGGCAGTTTGTATCTGGATGTTTTGCTCTGAAGTCAGGCAGACGATGGAGCAGAAGGGAATCAGACTAGAGACAGGAAGGCCAGTTAGGAGGTCATAGATGAGAAGAGATGAGATGAGATGAGCGATGAAGGACTGATGAGAGATAAGAGATAAAGGACTGACCCAAAGCGGAGCCAGAGGGCATCAAGGAAGATTGGGAAGTAGCATCTATGAGACCTGGGGACCCACACAGGGTCTGAAGGGACGTTAGAGTATAAAGACAACACTTGAATTTTCAGCAAGGCCACTGGTGTATGGTTAACTATCCACTGAGGAAAGAAATGAAGGGGAGTCATACAAGGTTCAGGTTTGAGAGCCTGGATGTAAGTAAAATCTATTTGTCAACATTCTACTTGAAAATCTCTCATATTACCATAAAGTCCAGTTGCTCTGGTCGAGTTAGTGACGTTCCAGGGACTTGGTGCACCAGATCTTTAAACCCCAGAATCACAATCAGCACGGAGATACGTTCATTGCATGAGAAACACAGGGAACCAGGCTCCCACGAGAATGGAAAAGAAGTCATATCCTCCATCTCATCCTCACTCTAGGCCTTTCGGTTGCTAGTAGAATGGCTGACAGAAACACCAAGAACCATTTAAGTTAGAGATTCTCAACCTAGGCTGCATATTGGAACCACCTTGGGAGTTGTAAAAATACAGACGCCTGGAAAAAAAATACAGATGCCTGGGTCCCACTCCCAAAGATTCTGATTTAACCTTGGGTATCTGGACTATTAAAAGTTCCCTGGTGATTCTAAGGTGCAGGCAAAGTTGAGAATCTCTGATTTAAATTATTCTCTCTCCTTACCAACAGATCATTTGAATTCCTATGGGTTAAGGGGCAACAAATGAGTTCAGATTTGGACTTATGGTGGCAGAGGTTCAAATAGAGACATCCTCTGCCCTTCGTTAATGATCCCTCCAGATCTTATAAATGTTTACCCAGGCAGCCCTGGGTTGGGCAATGGCTCCTGATTGCTGGGTACACTGGCTGGGTTGGGGCAAGAGGCTCTTCCAGACAGTAGTTCCAGACAGCTTGACTCTGAAACGCAAACAAACAGAAAATAGTCACTCTGCCTCCTAACCTGTTCAGCACTGGGGAGGTGGTGAGATGGAGATTGGGGAGGATTTCAAACAAGGGCAACATTTACTAGGCTTTTCCAACCTGCGCTAGCATAGTTATTACCACAAATAGCTGTTTTGGCTGCTACGAGTCTATAATTTCGACCTCAGAAGTAGTATATTTATTCTCAGAGCTTCTGGTATCTCATTTTGTTGATACGATGAGGAAAATCCAGGGCCAGGATTTAAAGCAAGTTTTCACCCCTCATTTGCTGGTGCCCTAGCGATTACCAGGTTCTTCAAAATCAAGCTCTGAGATTTTACAAGAAGAAGCCTTCAGAGTCCAAGTCAGGGCTTAATTCTTCTTTTTCTTGCCATCCTTGTAAATCGCCTACCCTCCCTTTAAAATGTGCATCGTTTCTTAAAGCACCTTCCCTGGAGCATCTGTGAAAATCTAAGCTTAGTGAATCTTGACCCCTCAGAGGCGACGGAGACTAATGGAGGCTGAGTCTGTTTATTCGTGAGTCCACAGGAAGGCCTTCCACCTCAGCAACCAGAGCAGAAGTGCCACACGTGTCCTGAGTGGAGGCCTCCAAGCACAGCAGAGAACCCCCTCAGCCAATCCATTCTGCCCTGACCCCTTAGCTATCCATAGGCCTTCCCCATAACAACCCTGAAGGAAGACGAGATATATACTAGTCTCAGCTGGGGAAAGGGGCGTATACCAGTCCCAGCTTTTTGGCATTCAAATCCAAACAGTGTTATCAAGCCTAGGGTGCAAGCCTATATGCCTGAACTCTGAAGGGAGACCCCAGGTTGACCCTGACTTCTTAGAGCCTCAGCTTTTCCAGGGCTGCTTTAACTCATTATGAAGGCAGGTCTTTTGTAGAAATCCAGCCCAACCAGCCCACCAGTGACCCAGAGAAGGAGCTTCTGTCAGGAGCGGGT